ATGTGTGAACCAGCCCTTACTAATTGTGACATTGCTGACTTTTAATTAACATCTATTTTTAACATCTATTTTGTAAACCTTTCACTTTTCAAATTAAAAAGGCTAGGGAATTAAGCAGTGGGTTTAGACTTTCAGAAGAGAAACATAATTAAGCACATGGGGGAATAGTCAAATGACTCTTGGCAGTTTCATGGTGCCATTGTCTGTGTTGCCAAACCAATCCTGCCTTGAAAAGGTTTGGAAGCGGATCAAATATTTTAAAACAAATCCTGTCCATTCCCTACAACAACTGATTTTCGACTTGCTAACCAAATGGGGCATAAAATCCGAGCTATCTTTTCCCATTGTGAATTTCCTATTGTAGTTGACAGTCATATGAATTATTTATTTTGTTCCAAAATTGAGGAACCATGTGCATTCACACATGTCTAATAGGTACTATTGAATTAGTGTTATTTCCAATTTTCAAACACATTGTTGAAGGATACAGAGCCATCACAATCTCCATGCAAATTTTATGGGTGGAATCTTGAACCTCTTACAAACAACTGAAAAACTAACCTTGAATTAGATGAAACATAAATCCTTAGGTGTCTTAAGGATGACTGTCACTTTTGCATTTCACCATAGTTTTAAAAAAGCAAACAGAAAACAAACTTAGTTTAAACTCTTCTCTTCAGTCAGAATCCTCTAAATATGCCTATATACATTTTCTAGATAATACCAAATGCTTTATCCTAACACATGGATTATTCCCAGTACCACTTCTCCAAAAGTCTTAAAATAAATGAATTAAAAACATAACAAATAGATGGGATCAGTAAGATCAAAGCAATAGCATCACCAAAGATAACCAAAGGCTTGATGAAATGTTTTCACATATGTCATGTCTAGTCAATTTGTTTTGTATTACAACTCCCATGATCTCTTGCCATATTTGAAGGACCACAAACTGAGCTTCAGCATTATTGCCATTGTCTGTGACAGATCTTCCACCAGAATCACCTTCAACTACTATCGCTGCCCTTCAGGAGTTTCTCTACCCCTGTCACCATTAGATAGATCCATTATCTTCTGCGGATGTGACCATTACTTCTGAACAGGGTGGATGCATCTTAGCCTGGTGTCTCCAGCTTAACCATTCTGCCTTGGGTGACTCTGCTAGGAGACCCACCTAGTGAAACAATTTGGCTCCTGGTGGCATTGCTCTCAGCTTCTCTGACACTCTCAAACTCCTTCACCACATTAGGGTGCAGAGCCAAGAAGAGGAAATCTGTGGGGATAGAGGTCCCATTGAGATATCACAGTTGGATGCAGAAGCCACTTAGCTGTGAGTTTACCGAGTTTTGCTGTTGTAAGATTTGTTAGAATTTTGTCTCCTTCCCTGCTTTTTTTAAATCTTCCTATGGAAGTGTAATTTTGTTTTGGTGGTGGGTTTGCCCCCCCCCACACACACCTCTGTGTGTGTGTGTGTGTGTGTACAGATATAGATATAGATATATATATAATTAATGACAATGCATTGATGTAAAGCATCACTAACCTACTGAAATCTGAAATTCCAGTCAAATTAATGTGCAGCGGAACCCACTGTGTTTTGGGGCAATCATGGAGTGGAACTGATGTCTTCTGGATTCTAATCAATCCCTCAAGCTTTCTTTGTGATACCAACCGTGCATTCATAGAGGACAGTTCAGGCAGGTCTGGAAAGAGAGAGAGCTTTGAAGGAGAATGTACTATCTACATTCAGTAGGTGATTTTGCCTGACTCATTTCCCTGCCCCCACATGTAAGGGGGAGATTGCAGATGATGGTAATTGAAAAGGCAAGCATGACCCCCAAAGGTCCCGAGAAATCCACATGTGTTAATGAGTGACACCCATGCAGAAAAGTGAGTATATTTTCATTCCTACTGGCAAGGTTGCAGAGCTTGGAATCTGGGGAAAAAGAAAATAGAAAAGAAACCATAAATAGGGTACTGTGCATTTTGAAAAGACTTAAAACACTTCAGTAACTTAGCTCTTTTCTTTTTTATGTTTACTTGCTTTTCATATCCCAAGCTGCACAATGAAGATAAACATAGATTTAATTGAAATAGCAGAAAAATTTGAAGTGGTCTTCCTCACTTCTGCGTTTGCCAGATGTTTCTGTGGTTTCTATCAACCAGGGCCAGCAAGTTTGTGTCAGGCTGATGGGGCTTGCTGTCCAAGACACCTGGACACTCCTTGGTTGCAGAAGACATTTTCAGATCACCCTGCTTCAAATATCACATTACAATACTTGCTCCTTTTTCCCAAGAACATTTCTGAGTTTGAGGTAGGTAAACCTGGTAAACCTTCTTCAGCACTTATGTGCTGTTGCTTTACATTGGGATGCTCATCTGTTCTTGGAGAGGGTATGGATAGCACTATGCAGTAGCTGTGATGTGGTTCAGAAGCAAGTAACCAACCTTTTATCTTTCTTGTCTCTTTTATCTTTCTGTAGAGATTTGAATGCTATGCTTCCATTGCCTTCGTGCAACTCAGGATGACTCACAACAATTCAACAACACAAAATAATATGACCAATTCATTCACAACTACAACCCAAACTGGGCATGGGTTGTTGGTAAACTGTTGCTTGCCATCTAATGCAAGCACTGAGCTATGGTTTAAGAATGGGTTAGTAACCAGAAACCATCTGGAGTTTTCACAACTCAGTAACAAACCATGAGTTCCCTTTCTGGACAGTTCATAGTTAGCAACCTATACTCAAGTCATGGAGCACAGTTTGTACATAGCAATGACCCATGATTCAACAACTACCTATGATTCATGATAGCTGATACACAACCCATACTCTAGGTTGTCATTACATGTGAACCAGACACACTGTGGTAATAAAAATGGCAGGCAGCTCCCAGATCCATCTGCCAAGGAAGACCAGCAGAACTGGGTCCTGCTGAGGCAGTGAAGCTCTGGAAACCATGAAAGCATGTTTCCCCGTTCACACCCACCACTTACAAATAGATAATTCAGTTGCAAGCATACAGGGCAAGAATCAAAATATTATCTTGGTATTTCTGGGACGTAACTGTTCAACTGGATATTGCTTTGTGTGTGTGTGTTCTTGATTCATTCATGGGGCTGAGCAAGTATATGGGAAGCAGCAGTGGAATTCTGTCCTGAGGTATGGTATATTCACACACAACAAACAAACAGAGATATCCTTTAAGCCGAAGGTCTCGTTTTAGTTGGTAATTGGGGTGGGACATTTTAATAAGGAGTAGATACATATCTGCTGTTCTTTCATATCTGGCTTTTCCAAAATAGACTAAAAGCAACTTGCAGCAAAACTGAAACAAAACATTTAAAATAATGATCCAGTAAAACGCAAGTACCCCATAAAATAACTACAACATGCCTACCATAAACAAATCAACCGATGCATTAAAAAGACCATCAGATGCTATTTTATGCCTGGGAGAAGAGTAGAGTTTTAACCTTGTTGTCTGATACATATATTGGCTTATACAAGAAAGTATAAAGAGTAAAAAATGTAAAAATTGTATAAAGAAAATTAAAACTTTTCAAAGATGACTTTGGCTCCATATATTCTTTGAACTGCAGCCTCACTAAAATGAGCAGAGCTGTTCCAAACTGCTCCTTGGAACAACCGTGCACGTGAAACAGCCACAAACACTTCCCCCTTCTATCTCTACGACTACTGTGGGAAAAGCTTCATCCATTCAAGACACTTTGTATCCATTAAGTGATTCCCCTTTGGTGTTTTAATTAAATAAAGGAGGTTAATTGCTGTGGAAACGGCTTGTCAGGGCACACTCAGCACAAGTCTTGAGAAAGTTTGGTAGCTCTGACCTGAATAATTAGCTCAGCACACTTTTGCCTCTGACCCGGACTTGTTTAAACACTAGGGTCTAGTGGAACATACAAATATTACCTTGCTCCTTTATTCTCGCTTGCTTGTTTGTTTGGAATACCTGCTCTCTTTGTTTCAGGGAGCAGAATCTGATTTTGAGGTTATTCTCTAGCTCTGGTCACAAATCCAATTGGCCAGTCAGCCCAAGCACTAGATACTGGGCTTACTCCCAGTTTTGAAGTGCAGGTACTCATCCTGTCAGCCTTCATAGCCAAACCGCCAAGGAGAGTCCAAAGTGGCAGGCAGTTCTTTTGATCCATGTGCAGGATCAGAAGGTTCACCATTCCTTAGCATGTCTGGTCAGCAGGGCAGCCTTCCAACCACTGGGCTTGCTGTACCAGAGCAGCTGTGAGTGGGCAAATGTCAGCATGGACTGACGCACACTCAATGCTCATGTTGATGGCCTCAACTGGGTGAACCTGAAAGAGGGAAGCATTGAAGAAGAGGTAGGAGCAAAACAAGGAAGGATCTGCTTAAAGGGAAGGGGAGAGTTAAAGATACAGATAAGTAGGAGGTGGAGAGACAAGGAAGAAGACTGTGCTCTTCTATATGGCTGCTCTTCTATATTCTTGTCAGAAACTATTGAGTTTAGTGGGGAACGATGGAGCTTCCCTTCCTGCATTGACCCTTTAAGAGTAAGCTTTGAAGAGGCTTCAGAAAAGGTGACTGTCCAAGGCTGGAGAAGGAGTTAGTATCTTTCTGAGAAAAGAAATCAAGGAGAAATACTGGAGAAGGACTTGGCAGCCATGGGCATTGCTCTTCCTGTGCATTTGGCTCAGACAAACCATGGGAGGGCTATTTACCTGCTTTGTGTCAGATAAGTGAAGTTGGAGGACATTCACAATGAATGAGCAATTCCCTAATTTTTGAGCATTATAACCAGGTTTGAGCATTATAACTAGGACAACTTTGCTTGCTAATCTGCTTAGTTAAAGCATATTTTTAGCCATTGTATCTCTGCTGGAATCAATGGATCAGAGAAGTTTTAATGTGCTGTTACCACAAGACTTGCTCACAATCCATATGAATAAACCACTTCCAGCAGCTTTTATCTCTACCAGGAACAGGTATTTTGTAAAGCTAATGAACCTTCATTATCCATTTAACAGGAAGCAATAAATTGTTGCTGGGAAAAATTAATGTCACCCTCAGCTACTGTGAAATTTGTAGCTATGCACAGAGGGAGCCAGAAATTCTGGGGTGGGTGGCAGAATCTCAGGATCCCTACTCCAAAAGATGCAGGTACTGATCCCTAAGAACTCTGGCTCCACTGTACCAGGAATCACTCTGCCTCATTGTCTCCTGACATCTCCTTGATCACCATGGCTGGACCAGCTATAGCTGGAAGGCTGCATGTAGTCCTTACCCCAGTTTCATGTGGTCCTGTTCCTTTTTTGCTCCAGTGGGAAGAATCCATGGAAGGAGTGCTGGAAGAGGGATCATTCTGAAAACCATGAATAGAGATCGTGGGGAGGAGAACAAATGGGAGAAAGCTGAACTGGATGGAGGAATGGAAGCAGATGAACATTTTGTAGATAATCAAGTCAGATCATCAATAGCTTTCTCTCTCTCTACTGGCAATCTGTGAGGCAAGCAGAGAGACATAGTGAAAAGGAGTTTGGAGGGGGGGGGTCCTCAAGAGAGAGAGAGAAGTGGTGCCCCAAGATGAAGTGTTGCCACCGGCATTGCCCACTTTTAGCCATGAGCCTGCCCACTACTTGCATGTAGATCTTGAAAGATTAAAAAATGCAACCCTCAACAAATAAAGGTTTTCCCACCCTGGATCAAAGGTATGTGGACCAGGACAAGATTGGCTTTTATCACCACATTTCCTTTCTCTGTTAAAGAGCAGAAGCTGTAGTAATGGCAAGCACAACAACAGGACTGGCTGTCTCACTTTCCAGGTGGCTGAATTTTGCTGCGAGCTTAACTCAAACAAGGCTTAGTATCTCCCACCCTTGTGAACCTTCTTCTACAGAGTGCCATGAAATGGAAGCAACTGGAATTTTTTTCTAGGCAAGCAAAAGTGAGAGAATATCAGTCATGAATGGGAAAAAGGAAGGAAAATATTTGGGCATGCATATAGTTTCTGGAGAGGCACACACATGTCAATATTCAGCATGTGAGGCCGTTTAGAGTGTACATTAAAAACAAGAACCTTCTGAGTTTATTCAACTGGAGGTTTTCCATCAGATTCCGCCGAAAGATTTCCAAGTCCTGAAACCACAGGCCACATTGTGATAGGAACTCTTAATATCGACTATTTTGGAACAAAATCAAAACAAGTGTGTCAGGTACTATATCTGGATGGAATTGAAACACATGCACACCTCGTTACTTTCCAGCTGAATGGCTGGAGCAATCGACACATATGGGGTTCACATATCATGATGAGCAACTTTGTGAGGTGGCCACAGTTTATGGCGCCCTTGATAGACATTCAGGGTCATGGAGGTAATTCTCTTCCTTCCCACAATCACCTTCCCTGTCAGTCCTCTAGGTGAGTCTGAGGAGTCCCCAAAGGGAAAAACAAGGCTGCTTTCTTTGACAGTCATGATGGCAAGCCAAGTTGGGCTCACTACATCTGTCAAGAGGTCTCTGCTGCACCACCAGGGCTCATGCTTTGAGAACAAAAGAGAGCAAAAGAGGACAAGGGTGCTGATAAGGCACCATTGTCTCCTGTTTTGGAGAGGGTTGCTAGAGCAGTTGGGATGGAGGCCGTCCGCCTGACCCATGCCCACCAAAGGAGGGAGAAATCAGCTGGACAGCACTATGGAAAGCAGCAGTGGCAGTGCCTTCTGCACGCATCTGAGGGATGCCTCCCACACACAGGAGCAGGGGAGGGGAGGAGCAGCTGGGCGGTGGTGCCCGGTTGGGGACCCCTTTCTGGCAAGTGCAGTGACAAAGCAGAGGTTCTGCTGACCCTCCTTTCTTGCTCCCACTTCCACCCTGGTGCCTGCAGAGGCTCTCTGGCAAGAGGGGCCAGAATGGGGGAGAGTAGGGGTATTTGCTGAGCAGCACAGCCCCTGACTGGGCACCACCTCTCAGCTTGTGTGCAGGAGGGGATTCCCTCAGATACAAGGGGGCCTGGGTGGGATCATCCAGGAATCAGCTGAGTTGTGCTGCTCCTTCTGCAGTGCAGCCCAGCTGATCGCCTCCTTCTGTCCCAAAACAGAACTTTAGGGCAGGAGGTGGGCAAAGCAGGAGGCCGTTGGCAGCTGCTACAGTGCTCTTTGGCTAGCTACTTGGCAGGAGTGGCAGTGCACTGTCTCAGTTCTGAGAGAGAGAGAGAGAGAGAGAGAGAGAGAGAGAGAGAGAGAGAGAGAGAGAGAGAGAGAGATTGATTGATTTCTGGCCTTTGTACCATGATGATTTGTGTTTTCTGGGTTTGGATGACACAGAAAGCCATTATGGTATTGAGAAATCATAAAACAGACCATTGTTTTTGTCTGTGATTTGTAAAGACCAAAGATGCAGTGCTAAAATACTGCAATGGAGTTCAGACAACAGACTGATAATGGCAGAAAACCACTGAGCCTTGTCATGTTGTGTGAATCTGCCCATAATCTAAAGCAGGGGAGACAGTAGATCTCCCCACAGTGTGGTTGTTGTTGAGTTGTTATGACATTACATTACTATGACATTACATTTATATACTGCCCGTAGCTCACTGGGTGGTTCAAAACATTAAGTCACGCTTTGAGATTTCAACCAGGTCTGACCCTGTCTATCTTCTGCTTCAACTCCAGCATTCTTAACTGGCAAATGCTTCTGCAATTTGAAGTCCAAACCATCAGATGGTCTACCATCTACATATCCATGTTTTCAAGTGTTACCATCCCTAGCATTATTTTTTCTAGTACTGAAAGTGTCTAGGCAGGTAAGTGTACCAAATCTCATCTTTCTTGCTATTGGGGAAGTAGTATCTCAGCACATTTAATTCTGAAAATGAGAAAGTATTATTCAATGTTGTAAGATGAGACAAAGTGTTAGCATTTGGATGTTATCTGATACAAGGAACCAGGAAGTATAAGTAATGCACAGTTCCTGATCTTACTTCCTTACTAAATTAGAGACCTGTATTTACTTACTTTGCCAACAGATATTGAACTCAAGGGACAGTATTCGTTCCATTTCTTTGCCTGTTAATTTCCAATTTGTCTTGTTTATTTTTAACCTTGCTCTTTTTTATGTTATTACCTGGTCTATAGTTTCTATTGCATTGAAATAACATTAATGTCTATATTACAAATTGGCTTGCAGTTGACTGCTGCAAATGTATAGTGTATTAGTGCAGAAATAGAACTATTTTTAAAAAGAAAAACCTGATGTCTTTCTATATTATTGATCATCTGTGTCTCTGTGTGTGAAAAATGAACTGCTCAGACTATAGGGGTAAGTGCACTCTGAATGCTGTTACTGCTAAGTGAAGCAGGGAAACAAGTTGCTCAAACAGAAACTGGCTCAAAAATGTTCCAGCTCCTTGAATCTACACTTATTATCTCCTTGAGTGCCCTCATTCAGCAGGAACTCTGCATAATGATGCCTACAAGGTAACAAAGACAAAACAAATGCCATCTCCCTGCACATGCTAAAATTGCATAATTGTCCCTTTCCAGTGGCCAAAGCAATAAGATTATTTCTTTTAGAGGTGATCACACCTTTATTATGCCTTTATTTTCACCCACCTGTTAGTCACTCCCCTTTTTGAAGGAGAGAGCACTCATTTATGATCTCTTTCATTTTACTCTGCCTCTGAAATGCAAAACAAGTAATTCTAAAACATGATAAATTATTATTTATAGTACAAACCTATATAGGTTTACTGGGACGTCGACTCCATTGAGTTCAATTAGGCTAACTTCAAGGTGTTAGCAAGATGATGCTTTAGACACGTTGATCACTGTACTGGAATGCAGATTGATGTTTGAAAGTATCAAGCGTAGGAATGGACATCTTGTCACAGATCAAGCCATAATGAGATTACTTCCCCAAAACTTGAGAAATAGTGTGGCTTATTTCTAAGCCTATTTGTTTTAGGAAATGCAATTAAGTACAAAATACACTTGATCTCAATCTATTTCCCCATGCCTGCTAACTAAGCTAACTTTAAACACTAGTTACCAGATGGCATCAGTAGTGATGCTTTGGCAGAGAGAAAGAAAGGAAAGCATATCTCTTTCTCTTTGGCAGCATGAGAAAAACCTCTCAGAGCCCTTTGGGAAGCATAGTTTTTCCTAAGCCAGCAGAGTTCCCATGACAGTAACGTTAATTTTCCTTTGCGTTCATCAGTTGGTATAAGAGCCAGTGAGGTATAGTAGTTAAGAACCTGAAGCTACAGTCCAGGCAATCTGGATTCTAGTCCCCACTCAGCCATGGAGCTCAATGGGTAACTCTGGACCAGTCACAGACTCTCAGCCCAACCTTCCTTACAGGGTTATTGTTGTGGGAATAAGCTTGACAGCAGGAAGAGAATGATATAAGCAGTTTTGAGAATGATATAAGCAGTTTTTTCTTTAAAAGAAAAAAAATGGTGGGTTATAAATCTAATGAATACATAAATGGGTCAGTCCAGTTCAAAACTGCAGTTCAGCTCAGTGCTGAGACATATGATCAATGCCAGGACTTACATCTCTGCAGTAAAAAACTTTATTTATTTTTAAATTTATAGACCCCTGAATAACCTGACAGGGCTCTCTAAGTGGTGGGCAAAAAGATACAAGACCAATTTCTAAATATAAATGTAATACTATATAAAAATCTATTTGCTTATAGTAATTTACATCAGAGAGAAGGCTAGATTAGAGCCCTTTTTTAACATGCTAGTTCTGTTTGTGCAGAGAGCCTTTTAGATAGAACACTAAAATATTCAACCCTTACCTGGCGTTTAAAGTGTTGCTATTCTGCAGCAGATTCATCATGTGAATCTGCTGATTGTGTCATTAGTTCATTCAGGCTTAATATTGAGAAGGTTTTAGGTCTCCATGGCTATCTGTACTTGATTCTGAATGGAATTTCAGGGTCATTTCATGTATTTTTATTAGCCAAGTATAAGAAAGTTCCATTAGAAAGTAGTGCATTTGAGTGCATTTCACTGTATGGAAAAGTTTTTGCCACAGTGAGATATCTCTGATGGCTGACTCCAACATGGTAATCATCACTGAATGCTACATTAAATGGATTGGAGTCAGGTAAATGTGCAAAGGATTGCAACATGGTAGTGCAGTCCTATACAAATCTACTACTGTATGGGTTTCATAGAATAATAGAGCTGGAATGGGCCAAGAAGGCCATTGGGTCCAAGCCCCTGCTGATGTAGCACACCAAGTTATACCATAATGCCCTGTATTTCCTTGTCTAGATCATTCATAGAGATGTTGAAGAGCACTGGGCCCAGGACTGAATCCTGTCACACCCCGCTTGTAACCTCTCTCCAGTTTGAGAAGCTGCAATTGGTGAGCACTTTGAATCCCATTTTGTAGACAGTTGTGGATCCACCTAAGAGTTGTTCTATCTAGTCCACTTTTTGCTAGTTTGTTCATCAAGATGTTGTAGGCCACTATATCAAAAGCTTTGCTAAAGTCAAGATAGATTCTTTCCATTGTCCATTTGGTATTTCCACTGACCATTTGGGAGGTTACGCAGTCAAAAAATGAGATTAGTCCGGCAGGATTTATTCTTGAGAAATCCATGTTGGCTTCTAATAATCACTGTATTTTCTTTGAGGTGCTTACAGATTGGTTTTTCTTATTTTAATAATTTACTCCATACATTTTCCAAGGTCTGATGTCAGACTGACTCGTGTGTAGTTCCCAGGTTCACATTTTTTCCCTTTCTTGAAGATGGGGACAACATCAGCCCTTCCTACATTTTCGAACTCCACAATAGATTCAAATGAGTGTGGATTTCTGTGAATCTAGTTCTATCTAAGTCATGTGGATTTGTGGACAATGTTTCCCCTTTTGGGTCATATAGCATAAGTTTGCACTGGCAAACGATGAAATTCTTTTACAAAGAAACTGACTGTCAGTGGATGATACAGTGAAAGTCTCCATGCAACACAGGCAGAAGAGATTTAATAAAATCCATACATTCTGTTTCCAAATCTAATCATCATCATTATTATTATTTACATTTTTACATCACCCAATAGCCCAAAGGCTCCCTGGGTGGTTTACAAGATTAAAACATAAGCAAAAAATAAAAATAACAATAACACAATAAAACAATCATAATTAGGTGATAAGCAACAGTAATAAAACAACCCCAGGCCACTGATCAAATTGCCACATAGGTACAGCAGCTTGGAATAAATTTTTCATAAACTGTGCACAGTTTTATTTTTCAATAAGAATAATAAAATTAATTTTATCCTTTATTTATGAATATAAAAATTCATACTGGGAAGGAAGTCCCATTGAGCTCATTGGTTCTTTCTTCCAGGTAAATGTGTATATGACTGCAAACTTAGACATGTTAAGAATTCAGCGGTTGAAATGAATGGGTCAGATTAGTCATCCTGATTTTGGTGGTTCTGTTCCTTAAGTCTAGGTCCAAGCCAAAAGGTAACAATGCAGCTACCAGCTCTGATGGAGGTATGAAGTCATGTCATCTTGCAGCTTCAGGGTTTGCAGAGGTGCCAAAACTATTCGGGAAAACTCCTTAGAGAGCAGAATTCCCCAAAACAGCTGCATTCTTGATGGACACAGAACGCTGATTGCCTGCTGAGGGCAGGAATGGGAAGCAGGTGGGAGGGGAAAGGAAATAAAGTATCCCGGACAGCATATGCCACACTGCCACATTTCATCACAGCCTTCGCTTTTATTAATGTAATTGCCTAGCATTTATAGCTTCGACGGTCGGGATCTTTGAAATAAGGTCTCAAACCTTTATTGTACCAAGACTCAAATAGAAGGTTATCTTTACCTGTATTATCAGAATTTTCTTTTCTTTCCTTCTTTGTAAAAAATATTCAGTCTCTTACGTACTTGGGATTCGATTGGGATGATAAGGCGCACTTTGCTGGTGTATGCATATGTGAATTCATCTGCTTAAGAACAGATGCACACGGTGAGGACTGGGCCTTCAAGATAAATCTGCTTATTAGCTGCATGCTGTGCGAACCCCCGCAGTGATAGCACCAGAGTTAAGACCGCAGTTTCAAAAAGCACACGCTACAAATTGGAGTGTATTCATCCTTCAAATGCCAGCGCTGCTGTCTCATCTCATTAGGAATTTAGAAAGTTTACGCTAGTACTTTATCAATAAGTGCAGGGGGATTTGCATGAAATGGCGTTCTGAGGTGCTGTCAAAAATGCCATTATGCTCAGTTTCACCATATTCAAGATGCTGCCACGTGGAAAAGGCGAAGTTGCAAAAGGAAACAGAGGCCCTATGGCTTAATTTGGTTGCTCTTTGGGAGTGACCCCAAAAGGGAATCAGAAGACAATGTATGTTTATCCCAGGGATGGTACTAATTGTGAGGATCCTTTCCTCATTTAACCAGAGGCCATCAGCTTTGGAGAGTGTGGGCCTATCCCTCGTTTTGAATCTAAAGTGTTATAAGGCATACCGAGCTGCTTAAAAACAGAAGCAGAAGCATTATGGACATGTCTGCAGAAATGTTAGCCCCACTGTGCGTCATGGGGCTTATTCCCTAGTCAGTGAAGCCAGGCTTCCAGTCTCAAAAACCAGTCCTATAGTTCCCAGACCGTAGGATGACTTGGATTCCATCTGGTGGCTCAGGAAATGAGAGCTGGATCTCCTGGCTCTGTGTCCTCCAAGCCAGTATGGAGAGAGTTACGCTGGTTGCTTCTCCCCAGATCAGAAGATCAATCTCAGAGGTAGGGAAAAGGGGGCACTTGGTGGGCAGGGAAAGGTACAGACTAAGAACATAAGAGCCCAAGAAAAGCCATGTCGGATCAGACCAATGGTCCACCTAGCCTAGCACTCCATGCACATGGTAGCAGGCCAGCTGTCCACAGGGTCCCTCAAGCAGGATGGGCATAAGACCTCCACCTGACCAAGCTCCTCATCAACTAGTAAAGGAGGACGCACATAGCCAGCAAGGCTAGTAGTCACTGCTGTCCCCCTTCTCCATGAATCTGTCCAATTCTTTTTGAAAGTCATCCAGATTGGTGGCCATCACCACTTCCTGTGGCAGTGAATTCCACCATTTGGCAGTGAATTCCATGACTTCAGCTTCTAGGGTTATGGGAAAGGGAGAAAAATGACTCCTTTTTTGCTTTCTCCACATTGTGTCTCTCATGTCTCCCCTTGCTTTCCTTTTTTCTAAGCCAAAAACCCCCAGTTGCTCTAGTCAACACAGGAGAGCTGTGTTAGCCCCCTAAACATCTTCATTGACCTTCTGTACCTTTTCTAACTCATTAACGTCCTTTTTCAGGTAAGGCAACCGGAACTGTTCACAATATTCTAAGTGTGGTCACACCAAGGAATTTTATAAGGGAAGTATGCTCGTGGCACTTCTATTTTCTATTCCATTCCTGAACAAGACAAGGTACAATTTATTATCTGCCTGTTTCACCCGCTTTTCCTTTCCCCTTGAAGAAAGGATAGGTTGAAAAGCCATTAGATGGACTGAAACCCTGCTTAGAAAGAAAGCAACGATTGGAGGATGGTGGAAATCATGGAATCATAGAACAGTAGAGTTGGAGGGGCCAAGGGAGCCATTGAGATCAATCCCTGCTCAACACCAGACTCCAAGTTAAATCATCAACAAAGGAAAGTCATCCCTGCCATTCTTTCCACTCTGCCAGCTTCAGCTCAGCATGTGCATTTAATAGATTTTCTATATAATAAACAGAACACTTAATATGCACATTTTTGTGCAGGCAAAACTGCTCAAAGAAAATTTAAATCAGCCCTGTCTTAGTTTCACAAATATGAAGGGCTGGGCCTTTATGGGTGGGAGGTGGCATTCTAGATACTATACAGAACTACAGATGGTACTGTTTCAAAATGTTGTACTTAATAACGATAAGAAAAGTTGGGAGAATCAGGAAGTCTGAAGCTTGTTGAGGTTCTCCATTTTCCAGCTTGAAGTACATTTTGTCTTGTTCTTGTAAGCACATTTTGTTTGCCTTCTCTCCATCCCTGGTATGTCCCAAGTTCAAATGCATAATTTCCTCCTGTTGACCAAAGTGTGGAAATGTGTATTTTCCCCATGCACATTTTAAAGTGGCCCAGTTTTCTAGCAAATACATTGTTCAAACATGAACAGAAGCTCAGAAATAAGTAAGCTTTGGCCAAGGAATGCAGTACAGGTGGTGCTCCAGTTGCAAAAGGGACCCATTCTGATGCTTAATGAAGAGAAACAAAATTCTAGGACATTGCTAACGATAATACTTAAGGCTGAGAAGCAGCAAAAGTTGAACTTGCTGAAGTTTGCGAAGTCCATTTCAACTTAAACCCATATCAGATTGCATGCTTCACATGCTCCTTACATGGAAATCTGTGTGTATTTTTCACAATGTACACATCTGTACATTAATACATTCTACTTCCACCCATGAAAGCATATGTGTGTACATTAGACAAACACACACACACACAATTGCAATGTACAATGCTCAGATGTGCATGTGTTGCTGAATGCAATTGTTGTGGTCAACACATCACATTGCAAGCTTGGACATTTACTGATTTCAACTGCAGATTCCACCTCCATCCATACTCAGACTGGACAGTGTGCACTGGGCAAATCCTTATCAAAAGAAAATGAGTTCCCCATACATTCTTACACATAATGCTATTTTGTTACAAAACTGTAAGCTGAAAGAGATGCATGAAGGATAATGAATGGCCGCAATGATCAATATGCATTAAAGAGCACTTTCCTGTAATAACAACTCGAAGGATGGTGCTGGATACTCATGACAGGTGCTAGCATTTGTGTCTACTATCAGAAGACCTCATTCTGTCTACCGGCGTCACAACTGGCCTACTGGTGTCTTTCCTATTTTGCTGTGCCTCCATGCTGAAGGATCACAGTGTGCCAATTTGACAGGTCAACGTAAGGTGGATCGAAACAGTTTGATCACCAGCTGCATGGTGAAGCCTGCCCAGTGCCCAGTGTTTGGCAGTCCCTCTGCTCACACACTCATGGGCAAGCTGGCTTTGGAAAGCTCTTTTGCCAAGCATTGCTGGGTTTGGCTTGCCAGTTTCAGTAGGTCTTTGTATTTACATTCCCAGCAGTTGTTCACTAACCATTTCTTCTCCACAGAGTCACTCATTCTACTCTGAAGTTGCAGCGCTTCGGACTCATCAATACTTCTATTGACTCTTCTCACTTTTATTTAATTACTTTCCTATTTCTTTCTCTCCCTCTAAGCCTTTGCCAATGTCTACATAATGAAAACCCCACACACCAGAGATCCAGGCCATACCACCTTTTCCTTGACCTTTAAATATGAAAAGATAAGCAAAGATCTACAGCTAGAGAGATTTAAAACATTGGAGCTGTGGGGTTGTTTTTGAATTTCCATTAAAATTTTATATATTCTTTGATGCAGGGTTGCTGTTGCATGCAAGAGCTATGAATAAAATCAATTGAAAGCAGCAGATTTATCCAGAATAGGATTTAACAAATGGTAATGTGGTACACATTTATAGATGGGGCCCTGAAAACAGAACATACTGAATGGAAGGGTGTAGAAAGCAATGAATGAAAAG